TTATTCAGGGTTGTTTTAGCTATGCTGGGTTTTCTGTGTTTCTATATGAAGCTGAAAACTGTTCTTTCAAAATCTGTTAAAAAAAAATGTGTTGGAATTTTGATGGTGATTGCATTGGATCTATATATTGCTTTTAGTAGGATGGCCATTTTTTCTGTATTAATCCTACCAAGCCATGAGCATGGGAGATGGTTTTATCTTCTGATGTCTTCAATTCCTTTTTTTAATGTCTCAAGTCTTTCACTTGCTTAGAGTTACCCCAAAATATTTTATATTTTTGAGGCTACTGTGAAGGGTGTTGTTTCTCAGTTTCTTTCTCAATCCATTTCGTCATTTGTCTATATGAGGGCTACTGATTTTGTGAGTTAATTTTGTATCTTACTACTTTCCTGAGAGAATTTATCAGCTCTAGGAGTTCAATGGTGGAAATTTTAGGATCACTTATGTATATGATCATATCATTTGCAAATAAAGATACTTTGGCTTCTTCTCTTCCAATTTGTATTCCCTTAATCTCCTTCAGTAGTATTATTTCTCTAGCTAAGACTTCAAGTGCCATATTGAATAGGTATGGAGAGAATGGACAGCCTTGTCCTATTGCTGATTTTAGTGGAATTGTTCTGTGTTTCTCTCCACTTAAGTTGATGTTGGCTATGGATTTGCTGTAAACTGCCTTTATTATGTTGAGGTATGTCCTTTGTATCCCTGCTCTCTCAAGACTTTTATCATGAAGGGGTGAATTCTGTCAAAGGCCTTTTCTGCATCTAATGAGATGATCATGTGGTTTTTGTCTTTCAGTGTGTTTATATGGTAAATTACATTTACTGATTTTCATATGGTGAACCATCCCTGCATCTCTGGGATGAAGCCTGCTTGATCATAGTGGATGATCTTTTTGATGTGTTCTTGAATTCAGTTTGCAAGTATCTTATTGAAAATATTTGCATCTATGTTCATAAGAGAAATTGGTCTGTAATTCTCTTTCTTTGTTGAGTATGTGGTTTGGATATCAAGGTGACTGTGGCTTCATAAAGTAAGTTTGGCAATGTTTCTTATGTTTCTATTTTATGGAATAATTTGTAGAGTTCTTTGAAAGTCTGGTAGAATTCTGCACTAAAGCTATCGGGTCTGGGTTTTCTTTGCTTGGGAGACTTTTAATGACTGCTTCCATTTCACTAGGAGTTATAGGTCTGTTTAAATTGTTTTACTGATCTTGATTCAATTTTGGTGGGTGGCATATATCGAGAAAAGTATCCATTTCTTTTAGATTTTCCAATTCGGTGGAATACAGGTTTTAAAAGTATGTCCTTATGATTCTCTGGATTTCCTCAGTTGGCTGTTGTTCCACCCCCTTTTCATTTCTAATTTTGTTAATTTGGATATTCTCTCTGCTCTTTAGTTTGTTTCTATTTTACTGATTTCTTCCCTGAGTTGATTGTCTCTTGCCATCTACTTCTGTTGGGTGTGAGTAGTTCTTCTTGTTCTAGAACTTTCAGGTGTACCGTTAGTATGAGATGGCTCCAGTTGTTTTTATATGGGTCCTTAGAGCCATGAACTTGCCTCTGAGAACTAACTTCATTGTGTCACCTAAGTTTGGTATGTTGTGTTTTCATTTTCATTCAATTTTTAAAAGTTTTCATTTCATTGTTAATTCTGTCTTGACCCATTTTTCATTGCATGTAGTGAGTTGTTCCATTCCATGAGCTTGCAAGCCTTCTGTTGTTTCTGTAGGTATTGATACCCAGCTTTAATCCATGGTGGTTAGACAGGATGCAGGATGTTATTTTAATTTTTTTTTTATCTGTTGAGACTTGCTGTGTGTCTGAGTATGTGGTCAGTTTTAGAGAAAGTTCTATGAGGTACTGGAAAGAAGCTATATTCTTTTGCATTTGGGTGAAATGTTCTGTAAACATCTGGTCCACTTGATTTATGGTGTAAATTAGCTCCAGCATTTCTCTGTTTATTCTTTGTCTGGATGACCTCTATATTGGCAAGAGTGAAGTAGTGAAGTCACCTACTATCTGTGTGTAAAAGTCAATTGTAATTTAAGCTGTAATAGTGTTTCTTTTATGAACTTTGTTGCCGTTGTTTGCTGCATAGACATTAAGAATTGCATGGTCCTCTTGATCAATGTTTTCTTTGATGAGTATGTAGTGTCCTTCACTATCTCTTCTGATTAGTTTTGGCTTGAAGCCCTATATTGGCAGATATTAAAGTGGCTATTTCAGCTTGCTTCATTATTATATGTGGAGAGGAATTTCTTCTATGGTCCAGTCTATTTGGTGTTTTGTATGCTTCTCAGACCTTGATAGGCATCTCCTTCTTTAGTTTGGGGACATTTTCTTCTATGGTTTTATTGAAAATATTTCCTGTGCCATTGATCTTGGTTTCTTCTCCTTCCTTTATTCCTGTTATTCACAGATTTGGATTTTCATAGTGTCCCAGATTCCCTAGATGTTTTGTGCCTGGGGTTTTCTAGCTTTAACATTATATTATTTGACTGAAGTATCCATTTCTTTTATCTTGTCTTCAGTGCCTGAGTTTCTCTCCTCCATTACTTGTATTCTGTTGATGAGCCTTGCCTCTGAGGTTCCTGGTTTTGAGTTCCTAAATTTTTCATTTCCAGATTTCCCTCAGTTTGGGTTTCCTTCTATTTTATTTCCACGTTGAGGTCGTGAACTGTTTTTATTCATTTCCTTCCACTGTTTGTGTTTTCATAGATTTCTTTAAGGGATTTATTCATTTCCTTTTTAAGGTCCTCTATCATATTCCATTTTATCTTGTGCTTCAGCTGTTGCATTTCTCAGGGACTCCTGTAGTAGGGTTGCAGGGTTCTCATGGAGACATTGCCCTGGGTGTCACTGTGTTTTCACACTGGGGTCCAGGCATCTGAGTTTGGGATGACTGTAATTCTAGGTGCAGACACCTGGTCCTGTCTTTGTTGAGTGTTTTGTTCTCTTACACTCTCTGGTTCTTAGGAGAGCGTGGTGGCTGTGTGTTGCCTGGTATGGAATGCTTCTGGGATCCTGCCCAGGTTTGGCCTCAGGGGGTTCAAGATACAATGCATTTCTAGGTACTGGGAGCTGGCACTTAAGAATGGGAATGGGTTAGAAGCAGGGCTAAGAGAGACCGCAGGAAGGAGAAAGCAGGGTGTTTCACCAGTATCTGCTTAATCCCCTGGGAATGGGGGCAGAATGTAAGGCCAGACCACAGCAGGTGTTCTGCTACAGAGCTGGGGCTAAGACTGGGGAATTGGATTTGGAGAAAGAAGAGAAGATCTGCAGTTAACCTGCCTATTTCCCTGGGAGGTGGGTCTGTGGCTTTCCAGGGAATGCCTGCTGGAGTTACAGGCTGGGAGGAAAGGGTGAGTTGGGATGCTGTGGGAGGAGGTCTTCTTGATCCTCTGGAGAAGGAGCTGAGAGGAAGTGGAGGCTGCAGCAGGTGATTTGCTGCAGAGCTGGGGATGAGATTGGGGGGGGGGGGTTGAGGAGAGGAGGGTCAGATGGAGATCTGCAGTTAGCCTACCTGCTTCTAAGACCAATTAATTTTAATGTTCCTGCATCTATACAGGTGTGTCTTTCTTTGGGGGAGATTTTCTTCTATAAGCTTTAAGATCTGATCTATGCCATCGACCTGGGATTCCTCTCCCTCATCTATGCTTATAGTCCAAAGATTTGATCTTTTCATGGTGTCCCACAGTTCCTGTATCGTCCTTTCCTGTGTGATTTTTAATTTTGCATGTTCTTTGCTTGTGTGATCCAATTCCTCTACTTAATCTTTGAGACCTGATACTTTGTCATCTCCTTAAAAGGCTTTTCCCATGAGTTTCCTAACTGAGATACTGAATCTTCTTCAACTCCATCTCCGTTTCAGCTTGAGTTTTCAGTGCTTCTTTTCCTTTAAGGGATTCAGTTTTCAAATCCAGGGCCTCATCTGTCTCCTCAGAAGGGCTTCAGCAGCAGCCCCTCCTGCCCAGCCATCTACTACTCAGAAGAAAGCTCAGGAACACTCTTTGACTCCAGTTCTCTGCTCCACTCCTCAGGGTTGCTCTGTATCCTAGCAACGCTGCCCCAGACCCCATCTAGAGTCTAACTACTGTTCTTGCCTTAGTCTGAGCCATCATTGGTGAAGCAAAAGCCAGTCACTTGCCCTTGGACAGCAGACTTGGTGGTCCTTTCTGTGATGTCCTTCTTCATCTTGCTCAGAATCTGCTTACTCACTATATGTCTGTCATGTCATGCTCCTTCCCAGACTTGTACCTGTGGCCCTTTGTAGATGTTCTTCCCTATGGTTGGAGAGCCTTTCTTCCGGATGTCATTCGGACTCATTCACTCTCTGCCGACGTCTGAGGCTGTGTTACCTTATCCCATGTAAACTTGAGTCCTCATCCTACAAAGTATAATGTCCCTCATCTCTCAGTGCCCTTCCCCACACTTTCATGTTCTGTGATTTTAGTGCTGCCTAAAACTTCTCATGTATTTATTCCATTCTGTAGTTTCTCCCCCAGTGTTCTGCCTCAAACCCAGAGCAGACTTTGGATGAACAGCCGAGTATCAATATGAATACTAGTCTCTAACACCTGATGGCCTTAATTCAACCCCCAGAGCTCATTTATAAGTGGAAAGAGAAGACCAACTCCACAAAGCTGTCCTCTGCCCCCGACATGTGAACACACCTGCATACACACATCATGCAGACCCACACAATAATAATAATAATAATAATAATAATTAAAAAAAAACACAATTCTACCACTTACTGGCTCCTGCTTTATGCCACTATCTATACAAGCAACCTTCTTCAATCCACACTGGCATAAAGAAGCTCACTGACCCCTGCTTTCCTCCTAAAGCCAGGGCCCTGAGCCTGCATTCGGTCCAGAGCCACCTGATGCAATGCAAGGGCACACAGAGGGGATGAACAGCTCATGTCACCAAGTCAGTATTCATAGGACCCCTCACCTTGTATGATGGTGACATGTTCTTGATGTTTCCTCCCAGGTTCATGACTACCTCCGCAGCAAGTTGTGCTCCCTCTATGAAAATGACTGCATTTTTGATAAATTTGAGTGTGTGTGGAACGGGTCGGACAGGTAAGAAACATTCGGGCTGAGAGCCTTTCCCTTGAGGAAACTTTGGACAATTCACCTGAAATGGGATACATCCAAATGGAGATCGATGTTGGGCCCCAAGACCTGGCCAGGATGCATTATGTGGGTCACTGACTGGAGTCTGTGATCACACCTGTAAAGAGAAGGATGCTGTGAGGCCCCGAGTTCATTTCTGGGCTGGCACAGGTGACAGTTCAATGTCAAGAAGAAAATGCTGTCCTTAACATACAAGGCACCCAAAAGCTGGGACCAAATGCCTACTCAAGACTACTAGTAATACACCAGCAAGTCCTCTGAGTATTGTCAAGTGGCTTTCTAGACCTATCCCCTTGAAGCTGCTAGAGCAGACTTGACTGGAGGTCCTGGTGCTTCATTAGCAGAATCCTAGCCAACCTCATTTATCACATTCCCTCAGAGTGATTTATTAGTGTTTTAAGGCCCTTGATTTCTACAATACTTCACATTACCTCCCAATAGTTCATTTTTCGTTTGACAAATACAGATGATTCTTTGACAGTCTGTAAACTAGATGCAGGCTGCTGGGGCTCAGTTAGCTCCTGGATGAAGGTGGCATAGTGTTCAATAGCATGAGGCTGTTCATTCATAGTGTTCACAGCGGGCCATTCTGAGATTCCAGCTTTGAGTCTCTGACTATCTTGGCCCCTCTTCCCAAACCACCACTGAATCCTCTATTGCAGAATTCAGTTGAACCAGATGTAGTAAACATGCAGCAAAGGACCCGGGTTACACGATCCATTTTATACAACAGAAGAGAGCAAAGCAACGAAGCCATATGAACCAGAGTCCCCAGGGAAAGAAGCAAGCCTCTTAGTTTACCACTTAAGTCATTGATAGTTGATAATAATTACACAACTGTTATTTTTCCAGTTTGCCCTTCATTACCATAGATCATAACCAATGACTACTAGTTAACTATACACAAGACATTTCTACACACATCTTCTAATCCCAGCCACAGCCAACTAGGGTTACCTCTATCATCTCCATTTCACAGCTGAGGAAGTTAGGAGTCAAAGTATTCAGGACTTAGTGTGATGGCCCAGCCTCAAACATTAGTAATCTTGAGCATATACGAGACCTCAAAGCCCACCTCCACAGTGACACACTTCCTCCAACAAGACCACCCCAATTCCAACAAGGTCACACCTCCTAATAGTGCCACTTCCTTTGGGGGCCAGTTTCTTTCAAAACCCCCCACACCTCCTAACACTAACTTAAAGTTGGTAACCCTAGGGTCATAACAACTGGACCAAATTAGTGATCCAAGAACAAAAATTACCTGTGGAGTAAAAATGAGTAATACTGATGATGATTGCAAACCTTTGTTCTAAGCCCAGCCAAAGAGCTTGGCCCTTTCAATGACTCAAAAAACAAGTCAATGCTCTCAGTTTAAATGTATGGTCCCCGTGAACTGGCCGTGATAAGCATCGTTTGCTCCTGAAAGATGTTATGGGGATGGCTGACCACCCTTCTCTGTAATGCTCAGCTTCCTCTTTCCCCGGCAGTGTCATCATGACGGGCTCCTACAACAACTTCTTCAGGATGTTCGACCGGAACACCAAGCGTGATGTGACCCTTGAGGCCTCGAGGGAAAACAGCAAACCCCGGGCTATCCTCAAACCCCGAAAAGTATGCGTCGGGGGCAAGCGAAGAAAAGACGAGATCAGTGTCGACAGTCTGGACTTTAGCAAAAAGATCTTGCATACAGCTTGGCATCCTTCAGAAAATATTATAGCAGTGGCGGCTACAAATAACTTATATATATTCCAGGACAAGGTTAACTAGGAGGACAAGCTATCACTTAGTCTCACATACTGAATACTAGTCAAACAAGTTTTTAAATGTTTCTTTGGGTCTTCATTTGATGCATTGAGTTTCATTTCCCTATGCATAAAACGATTGGAATAGAATTAAAAAGGAGTTCAATGTTCCCAGCTCCCCAATTCTAAGGAACTTTTGTCAAACTCGGTAGGCTCGGGCCACTTCTGTTTAGAATCGAGAGCTGCCAACTGGCACTAATTCTTCCATAGTTGACTTGAATTTCTGATGCGTTCATTCATTGCTCGGTTTCCTCTGGTGGGTTCCGTGTTTTGTTTCTAGGTGTCTGCTGCGATAAAATGAGATTGTCTGTAGTATTTAAGGAGAAAAGAGATAAGGTTTTGTTGTTTTTTTTTTAATTAAGCAATTCCATTTGTTTGAAAAAAATCAACAAAAAATAAACACTGTTTACTCTTAGAGAGTTTCTCTTTGTGAAAAAAATCAGGCCTAGCCAGTATATCTCCTCTGCCTTCCCATCCATTTCCTTTTAAACAGTTCTTCTGAAGCCAGAAACTTATTTCACAAGGCTGAGAAAAGGGTGCTGAATGGGAAGGGAAGGGACACCATGACACTGTTCTCTCTTTTGGTAAGTGCCATAGAAACAGCCTGGGAATGTAATGGCCAAAGCACCACAAAGCTTTAGGGAACTTAAAGAGAATCCTTTCTCCACGGGGGTTCCCAGAGTTTGCTTGGCAAGGCCAGCGGAGACCAGATCCCTACCATTCCTTGTTACTCTTGCTTTTATTTTTGTTTCCTTTTAAATGGCTCCATCTAATCCCTGCCTCCACGGTCCTTGGCTCTTTCCCTTCAGCCTCTGCCAGAGGATTTGCCCATTGACTTCTAAAGGCTGCGCCCTGGTTGCTTAGTACCAGGAGGTCTCTATAAAGCAGTGAGCATCGCCCTCCTCCAAGAAAGGCCGCCTGTTCTTCTGGGTTTATTCCTCCCGAGCAACCCCTCCTCTTTTCCAGAAACAGCCATCCATCAGTCCTCACTGTGTCTAAAACAAAGGCCATAATGATGCTGATTTGTAAGCCTAGGCACACATCTCTGAGCCCACTTCAAACTCACCACACTGGGAAAATAGACTTAAAGAGTTCCCTCCTTACGAACAACAACGTACAGGAGGTGAAGGAGCAGGGGAGACAGGGACCATCATCCTTGCCTGGGCCTTGTGTTCAAGTCACATATCCATACAGCAACACTCAGCTGCCTCCAAGAAATAACAGTCATGACATATCAATTTGGACCCACCAGTATTCCTTTCCATCATTAATCACAGCGACTGGTCCATCCTTCTCTTGAGATGACTCACTACCTCAAGAAAGCCATTTCCAAAAGGAAGTTCAAAAGGAAAGGATTTAGACACTTAAAGAGGAAGCAGAGAAGGTACTTGAGTGTGTCCCAAAGTGGGACCTCGGCTTCTGACTGTACTCTGTTTTAATGCATCTCCCCCAATTTCCATCTGGTAGACAAGAAATAACTTGAGATGGGAGATTCTTACTAAAAAAAAATTTCCTTCAGTTTCTGGATTTATTAAAACTTCCAATTTTTGCCGGGTGGTGGTGGCGGCGCACGTCTTTAATCCCAGCACTTGGGAGGCAGAGCCAGGCAGATCTCTGTGAGTTCAAGGCCAGCCTGGGCTACCAAGTGAGTTCCAGGAAAAGCACAAAGCTACACAGAGAAACCCTGTCTCAAAAAAAACAAAAAAACACCCTCTCAATTTTTTAGTTTGCTTTGGGGGAGGAAAAAAAATAGAAGCATCATGTTGTCTCAATTTCTAAGCTGTTGTCTGTATGCTAACAGCTTTGTGGCAAAGAAATTACTATCCGCTTAAATCAGAACAATTTTGTAAGATCCATCCCAGTTTCAGGAGCGTGAAACACAAGCCTTTGCATCTCCACACAGCAGGCACATTAGGACGAAGATGTGACTTTCCTAGTGTTTCTCAGGTTCTTTGCAATACCAGCTGCACCTTGGGCGTCTTTCATGTCCATGGAGCAAAGCCCTGGAGGGAATATGGCTCAATGAGACTTGATGGGAAATTCCTCCAGCTCTTAAAGAGCGTTAACAGATGGGGAGCACCAGGTCACAGATGCTTGCCATCTTCTTGGCCTTTCCTCAGCTCCAGGGGACTCCCCACCTCTGACTATGCCGGTGGGGCGTGTACAAAGCATATTTATATCAAACTGAGCATCAGCCTTCCTTTGTACTCTTGTCCATTTGATGTGTATATAAGTCACCTTTCTCCAGAAGCAAGACACCCTCCTCCAAAAAAACAAGTATCCCTCAAATGTTGGTCTGATGTGCTGGTGTTTCTTTCTACCAGAAACTGCACAACTGTTTATATGTGAAACATGGATCCACACACCTCCTGACCATTTCGTGAGCCACCAAAAGTATGCTTCCTAAACTCCAAATGACTAGCATGGTGGTTCTCAACTGGTGGGTCGCGACCCACTGGGGGGTGCAGGTCAAACAATGACTTAACAGTAGCAAAGTTACAGTTATGGAGTAACAATGAAAATAATTTTATGGTTGGGGGGAGGGGTCACCACAACATGAGGAACTGTATTAAAGGATCACAGCGTTAGGAAGGTTGAGAACCACGGAACTAGCATGACATTCCCTTTGGAGGCACTGGAGTATCTCCATGGTCTGCACAGAATAGAGTCATCATTACTCCCCAGAACATACACATGAACAATTCTGGTCATCATGAAGGAGCTCACAGGCTCACTGAAATCTGTGGATTTCAACTACAAGCCCCCCCACTGTCTAACAAACCCAGCACAGGGCACAACCTGTGGTCTAAAGGTCGGTTCGGGATGTGCCAGATGAGTTAGAGCACACAGCCGCCAGACTCTTCGTTGCACATGAAAGGGAGCCTCAGACAAACAGCCATAAAGACAAAACCAGGAAAGGATGTCACTAGGGCAAGGCCTCGGGCAGCACTAACCACCATCTGTCACCACTTGCCAGCTCAGTGCCAGATACGGAGCAGAGAATCCCTTTTCGTCTCCTTGAGCTCAGGTATGCTTGACTTGGCAAACCCAGATGACACTCTAAGCTGCCTGAAACCCAGCCTGCTATGGTGTTAGCAGCGTGTTTGGCTCTGAGGACCCTGCGCTCTATGCGGTAAGCGCCATCGAGATTTCGACTGGAGGGCATCAGTTCGGTTAAGTAAAACGGAAGGCATGCCTTCCTGTGCTATTATTAAAATCTTTTCAAGGTAACCTTCAGTTCCCGATGTCTAAAAGCAAGGCAACTCAAAAAGATGGACCTTGACAGGCAGCCACGATTCTTTAATCCGAAGGAGGAAGATAAGTCGTGAGAATTAAGAGGGACGTAAGCCAGCAATAAGGGGCGGAGTGCCAGGTAGACAGGGAGTGGAGAAACAAACTTGTTTGTTTCTTAACTGCTTCCGGTCTGGCTCCTGCCCGTCCTCCTATGTTTTAAGCACAACAGAGAAGCCCCATCAGACACACTCCCTGAGGATGACGAGAGCGCCCCATGCTTTGTTGCCTCCTCCCTCGACACACAGTGCCCTGGAATCCCACTTTGCAAATGAAGAGTGACAGATTGTCCAGATAGCCAAGGATATCACCAGAGAGAGATGGATCTTGGACTCAATGTATCTGACTGAAGCAGAGCGGTTAAAATCCTGGGTCACCTACAGACAAAGCTAACACTACCCAGCACTTCTCCCGGGCCCGGCTTGGTTCTACAAATGACACACGCATGGCCGGGCAGTGGTGGCTCAAGGGTCTTTAATCCCACCACTCAGGAGGCAGAGGCAGATGGATCTCTGTGAGTTCGAGGCCAGCCTCGTTTGCAAAATGAGTTCCAGGACAGCGAGGGCTGTTACACAGAGAAACCCTGTCTCGAGAGAAACACTCACATACACACACACACACACACCCACTTGCATTAACTAGTTTACCCAGAAAACTCAAGACATGTATCTGACAGGTATGTTCTAAGAATTTCAGCATCAGTCTGGCTTGCCTCTAGATTCACATGATAGTGTGCAGGACAGCATAATTCTACAAGCCAGATGGCAGGTGTAGGTATACCTATTGCTTCTTGGCCATACATCTGCATGACATGTAACCATGCCGACTATTATAGGCAACTGAAAGACACAGTATTTCTGTGGCTAAATGTGTGTGAGCAGATTTGTTTATACCAGTATCACGACAACCATGAGCAATGTGTTACACGGGGACCTAAGAATGGCCACAGTGTCAGGACAATAGCACACGGCAAGAGAGACCTGTCAACTCCCATAATCATATGGATGCATGGGAGTCACCCTTGACCAATACACTGCTGTGTAGCATATGACTGAACTGTTACAGTAAAGGAGACAAATGACAACATTTACACAATTCACAAACAACGAAGCCAGGATGCTTGGTCCAAGTCCTCATCCCCATCCCGCACTATATATATATATAGAGAGAGAGAGAAAGTACTGATTGGAAAGCCAGCCTAACCATGAGCCTAAGCTCACCAACAGTAGAGGTAGCCTGACGGCTTGGGAGTGGGAATCAGGGACCAGATCTCAGGCAAAAGGATGGAGGTACTGTGACAGGTAAGACGCTGTCTCTGCCGAAGGTAACAAGCATATAGGAGTTCCGCCCACATCATCAGCACATTTATAAAGCCAGGCAGAATGGAGGAAGCGCAGGAACTACAAAGGGAATGGATGATTAAAGTGATAAGAAAAAGGTGACTCAGAATCTTTGACACATAAGCAGAAGTTTAAGGCATATCACCCAGCATACAAACATGGTACAGCACTTCAAATAGATGGAACCCCACAGAGAAGCTGAACAAGAGTGGGCGTGGTGTGGTGTGGTGTGGCATGAGAGCAAGATGAGAAGCCTCCACTCCCCTGGTGCTGTGAGAAATGGGTTTTCAGTCCCCCAGTGCTAACCCACTCCTGCTGGCTTTCACTTGTCCAGTAACAATGTTATTACTGCTGCTTGGGTTTGACTCTAGGGCCTCACACGCGGCATCCAAGCACTCTACCACTGAGCTACTATACCCATAGTCCCAGTTACAATTATTTCTTAAGCTCCACATCCAAGTATTTAAACATAATAGATGGAAAAAAGAAAAAAAAGCAGTATTTGCTGAGCAGTCACTGTGTGAGTATGAAAATCACCGCAATCCCTGTTGGGTAGAAATGCATTTCTGTGGTAGACTCAAAGACTTGCGTGACAGCCCAGAGTCTTATCCAGGTCTGTCCTCCTCCAGATCCTGCATCATCTCTTCCTCCACAGTGATGGGTGATGCATAGAGACTTTGGCTCAGAAACTGGCCCCTTCTGTGAGCAGAGACCGGTGGATGGCCAGGAATAAGTGCAAAGTCCAGACACTCACTCAGGTCTCCAGCCTCCAGCTCTGACTTCA